AGGATTGTCAGGATCCTGATGAAAATCTCTATTAAGGGACTGGGGGGGAGGGGTTTATTGCTGGGGATGCATTACTGACTTCAGCTTCGGGTTGCCTTGTATGAGGACAACAAGACTGGTCAGAATCCGGAGGGGCTCTCTCAAATATACCCAGTGACAAAGTGACAAAGACTTCGAGTCACAATCTCACGTTGCCGATGGAACAGGTGCAGATCAGAGAGAAATGCGTGTCCGAGCAGGTGCAACTTCTGCAAGCATTTTGTGAGACTTGATTTTGAGTGCCTGAACGTTGTGTAAATCCTTGGATCCCGAACTGGGGCGAATTTAGGCTTTAGTCGCAAGTTCAAGAAACGTGAAGTTTCAGCTTCTGCCAGAGGCACACTTTGATTTCAAGCATGCAAAGCGAAACCTCAAGCCTACACGCTGTGCGACCAAGTTCAGACTCGCCGATGTAAAGTGCAAATAGACCCCGGAAAGGGGGTTATTGAGAGTGGAGTAGTGGGACTCGGACCGCACACTTTCAAAACTCACTCAACTCACAAAGTGCGTTCAGTCATAAAGCTGCGGTTGAAGGGAGCTGCCAAGTCGGCCTGGGATTTTCCAACCACCCGTAACCGCATAGACACAAAATGCCAAGCACAACAGCACTTGCGTTTTAGTGGAGGATTCCACTGTTCTGCTTGCTGTTGCAGTCGCTATCTGGTGTTTGTTACTGCAATGACGTGGCAACCGTCCCCGTAGTCGTATCGCAGTAGCAATACTGGTAGCAGTCGTCGTCGCCTTCGTAGTAACAGCAGAAGTAGCACTTAGCACTGGCAGCTGCAGGAGCTCCACTGCCCAATGCCGAAGTGCTCCTGTCCCGTGAGCGACCATCAGGCGCACAGGGGGGGAGGATGGATTGGTTATTATGCTGATGATCGACAATCTAGACCGCTTAGGGTTTAGGGGTTTAGGGTCGATGCAAGGATCGAAAAACTGAAACCCGCTGAAGAAGACCAGATCTTAACCCCGTATACTATTCAGGTCAACTTCATGGATGCTGTACGGATTCAGGGAAGAGCTTTCAACGGCTCGAAGAACGCATGAAAGGCTTGCACCCCTTGCACCACAAAATTTTTCCCTAACCGCGACCCCACCTGTTTCCGCATGTCGACTGTGTCTTGCATTGTTTGCGCAGTCCTGTTGTTGTGTTGTGCACAGAGGGTGTGGGCCTTAGTGGGCATTGCAGGATGTCGTTTGCAACAGCTCGTGCTCTGCAGCGGCGTAAGCGAAAAAGTAGTACGATCCCAGTCGCGTTTGTTTGACAGTGACGCGGGACGCCCTTGTCCGGTTGAGTAAAGCTTTCACTGGCGCCCGTGTTTGCACCCGCTGGTCCTGCTCCCCCAGTATGCCCAGTATGCCTTGGCCCAGTTACACCTGCTGCAATCAAGGTCGTTGTGAAACTGTGTCCAGTGCAAAAACACTACTATCTGTGCGTGCGTATGCCATGTGTGGGATGCCGCTCACCTTCACTAATGGAGGTCACACGCCGCCCCGGACTTGGACAGCGTCCTCCCTCGCCCGCATCATTTGTGAAGCGTTCTGGATGGTTTTCCAGGGCGCCACGTATCCTTGGATGCGCTGTCGGTGGTCCGCGAGGACCTCCTGCGGGTAAAACTGTTGCCGCAGCTGAAGCCGAGGAAATGCTGGCAAGCGTCCCAAAGACGATCGTGAATGAGCCGATATGTGCAAGCGATACAAGAGGGGCATGTGTTGCGGCTTTGCGCTTGTAAGTGCCCCAAACTTCCAAAATGGCATTGTGCGGAGCATCCGGCCATGGTGCTGCCGATTGCAAAGCGTGACGATGTGGGACCTCTTTGCAGATTGCTTTTGCAACTCGAGGTACGGCAGCTGACCGAAGCAAAGAAGCAAGTTCCTGGCAAAGCCGCAACATCTCGGACTGAGAGAAAACAACTCGGAGGTATCCCGTTCATCACTTAAGAATGTAGATGTAGATCTCGAAGTTCGGTACTCGTCATGCTCAGCAGGTGGAATGCACCAATCCGAAGAGGACCCGCAACCACCACCAAGCCACTGCCACGACCGAGCCCGACGAATCGAGCTGGCACTGCCCTCGCTGCTGAGAAGCTGTACAACTATACTAAACTCGCCACAACCACTGCCAGGCCACATGGGTGAAACGCTCTGGCAAATCCTGACAAGACTCACATACAGGCAAACCCTCAAAACGATTATACGCCACAGCAGGGGTGACTAAAAGCACATGTCACACAATGCCTATCAGGTCCTTACGGGTCGATCCCCACCTCTTTCTGCCCGATAGTTGGGGTGGCCTCTGCGACTTGTCGCATGATCCTGATTCTGCGCTTCCATTGACCCGAAGATGTGGAGTGCCGATGGGTAGCTTTGAACCTATTGCAGCATTTGGAGCTTGGCAGCCACAGGCAGAGCCATCTGAGTTTGATGTAAGTCTGTCGCAGCTGTCGATACACACTTGTCCGCTCTTCGTCTTGACGACGATGATTTGCAACTTCCCCCACTGTGGCCACAGGCAACCACACACTGCGGACGTACTTGCGCATGTTCCATTATACTAACGCGTGCTGGGACCACCTGTAACGCGTTACGAAGCATTCAGCGAAGCCTGGGAAAGAAGTGTAAGTTGCAGTCACGAGGCTGGCCGACACGCCCGCCCTTTCTTGTGTGTTTGTCCAACGACACTGTGTGGATCACATACTGTTGTTGGTGTGCAGCAACACTAGCGTGTCCTTTGTCATTTTAGAAAAAGGCCTTCGCTGGAAAGTGCTTGGTTTGGAAGTGTTCTTTGAATCCCTGCGCACTACATGAGCTTGAACTTAGCAGTGGCTCCTTTTAAGCACGCTACGTTGTTCGGATTTCGAGCACCCCTGAAGCAGAAACACTTAAAGCCTGAAGTCCTTAAACTGAGAAGCCCATTTTTAGACCATTATGGAAAAAATCTCCACGCCTAATCCTAAACCCTAAAAGGAAAATTACGATTACCTAATCCCCCTTCACCCCGTTTCTGTGCTGGAAAAGCTCAGAGGTGCGCGGCGCCGTCGAAGGAAGCGACCTTTGGACCCGTTTCCTGGAAACGCGCGCGGAGCTCTACAGGACGGGCGAAACAGGATGTCTGCTAGCTACATTGGGGTTTACAGAATGGAAATGTTTTGGGGAGTTCTATGTACGTGATGGGGCTTGGAGATGCTACCAGGCTTTGCAAGGGGGGGTTTGGATGGGGGTTTATTCTCCAAACGGCAACACTATGGAGCTTTACTTCAGTGTAGAGAGGATTTGTTGCTGAATCTACTAAGTTCGCACACCAGCGGCCGCAGCGGTTGTGTAGCAGGAAGGCACAGTGCACATTTGCGGCTAAAATAGTGTTTCTTCCACGGTCCCGTCAGTGCCACCTTGCGAAGAGCTCGTTATCGGTGTGGGTAGAACGCCTAGCAAGTCAAGTCGCCTCTTCGGCACTATCTCGAAATCTCGTCGTTCTCAGGTGTTTGGGAATTTCGCGAAATTCGTGCCAGCACCATGCATTTTTCAGGTCGCGCACTTCCTTCCTTCCGGCCACAATCCTGTGTGTGTATGTGTCCGCCTCACGACATCGTTCTCCCGCCAGAGCGCCGCCAACCTTTTGCCTGCACTCGCGCCTTTGCCTTTATTGCCTTTAAGGTCGTCTTCCCGAAGCAGTGTGTGGTTGTGATTCTGAATCACGAAGCCACAGATGTCCAAGCTAATAAGACAGGAGGCTCTAACTTCAGCGGCCGCTTGTGGATCTCGCAGCTTCGTAGACACCAAAGCCCCAAACTCCTAAACCACCGCTGGCCAGGCCAGACTGCCCCAACGAGCGCAAGTGCACATGCCCCTGTGGTGAGGCTCGCGATGCAGGGCTTTCGTCGACCTTGTACTGATTTACTTGGGTTAGGATTAGATCTTCTCCAAGGTATCGGTCTTAATCTCTGGGTAACCGGGTTTTAAAACCATGACCATCACCTCGATGGTAACGCATGGTTACATGACTCCAGTACGATTCTGTCTGTCGCTGCTTTCAAGTTCTGGATTCTCCCGCACCGGTGGTAGCTGCCCCTGCGAGGGTAACAAATCAACCTTCTCCGGCAGATCAGATCTGCACCTCGAAAGTGCAGCACAAGTCCCTTCCGTCCTGAAGAGCATTGTTCTGCAAAGATTACCGCCAACGAAGAGGTCAGAATACTGCTGAATATTGAAGTCTGATCCTTTGGACCTATACATACCTTCAGGGGCGTTCTTGTGCTGCCTGCAAAGCCGCATAGCGTGGCCAATTGATTTACAAGTGTGGGCGATGAGTTGAGTAGATGAGGCTCATTCCCTCTGCTTTAAAGGGCGAGGTCCGGATGCCTGCAAGATTGTGGGGTGGAACGTGGGGTCGAGACAGGTGATCATCGTCGAGACAGCAGCGGCCTCAGTTGCTGCCACGGCACTGCTAGAGTTGCAAATTGTCCAATGCAGAGGTCAGAGGTGGCGGAAAGCAAGGACAAGCATGCGATAGGATCCCTGACAATGGGAAGAGTAGCCGAGTAGCCTTCATATTCCGGGCCCTGAGAGTGAGTATTTTCACGGCGCCGTGTTCAGTTCGAGGTCCATTCGACAGAGCGTCACACATCGGTGTACATTCGGGAATCGCGCCAGTCTTCCACAGAAGAGATGTAGGCTCTTCGCCAAGAAGGTCACAGAAGCTGCTATGTCTCGCCACGAAGGCAACTGTCCGACACATGGGAACCAAAACCACCCGCTCGCATCCCCTCATCCCAAGCCGTGCCATGAGGCTCGGCTCCTGGCTTCTGGAGCCCATTTAGATCAGAAGCCTAAGCCTTCCTACAATAGTAATTCATTTAATCGTAGCAATAATAAATAATAGTAATAATATAAATAATCAATAATAACAATAATAGTACTAATAAGTGATTAGATTCTAGGCTTGCAGGTGTAAGGGATATTAGGCTCTTTGAAATCATCCAGGTCGAGGACGAGGGCTTCGTCACGTGCCCTTCGTGTAAGGAGAAGGCAGGAGTCGGTCATGTGGAAAGCATGGTGAAAGAAACTCTACGACAACGACCACTGAAATTGCTACCCCATTGCACCGAGTACCAGCATACTACTAAGCACCACCTCGAGCTCCCTCACCCCAACGTGGCCGCGCTGCCACTGCTCCTCCCACCATTCCGTCTGCTACAGCTACCAACACCACGAGCACTGTCAAAACAAGCGGGTAAGACTAAAACTCCAACGCCTCTTATCAAAAGGGAGTTGCAAACGCAAGCCCTACCTTGATCCTGAACAGTACACGCAAAATGCTACAATTCCGATACAGTCGAAATCCTGCACCCTGCACCCCCCAACACAGCAAACATTTCACTCCCCTGGCAGGTCTGCTTCAAATGCCAAGAGAGGCACGAAGGATCCAGCTGCGCAGCATACTGGCAGTGGCGGAAGGATCCCGGCTCTTCGTTTGTCGGACTTTCGGTCTCTTCGGGCTTCCATGGTGTTTCGGGTTCTTGCGGCTTTCTTAAAATCTAGGGGCTCATCTTTGGGGCAGTTGGGATTTGTTGGTTGTTGAATAGATCTCATCGCTTGTTATGTCGTTGCAAATGACTTCTAGCGATATGGTTACGCTACCGCGTACATGTGCGGTCCTGTCGATGTCGCTGCTACCTATTTATACGGTCTGACAGGTCGACATACAAGATTTCCATTTCGAGGTCCGCAGCAACAGGGCAGGTACGGGTTGTTCAGGCTCGCACGCGAGGGCTGCGACAACCTTCGTAGAAGCTGTCGAAGAGTGAAACAAGGTCTCGAGGGTTCAACTAGACTCTCATCGCTACGAGTGTTGCTGGTTTTGAGAATCTTTTCGTCGATTCTTCCCGAACTGCTCCAAGCCTTCAGGAGAACGACACGTCGGACAAGGCATTTCAAGAGCTGATGCCGGCCTGGCTGTTTGCAAAATCTCGACACTCAGCTCCATGGTCTTACTCTCAGTAAAGCTTTGATGAACAGCTTTCCATCATAAGTCTGAGTTTGGTAACTTTGAGCTTGATCTTCTTGGAGTGGATATGATGAATGCTATATCGCTGACGGCCTCGTCTGAACCTCCTACAGCTGCTACTTCAGGGCCAGAACCGCAGAAATCGATACTCCCACGCGTTTTTCGTGCTGAACTTCGGCGTTTTCGGGGCTGTTGCTCGGAGAATTCAGAGTGTAGTGTCCGCTCAGCCCTGCCGCGCTGCACTATACTGCAATGTACTATACTCTGACTCTCTCTCTCTCTCT